GTTAAGATATGATTCTTAGGGTAAAGAACATTTGGTACAAATTTCTGTCAATGCCAAGCTCTGAATCCCTTTCCTATTGTGCCTGAAGCCACTGCATGATCACTGGTAATGCAAATGCTCGGCCAAGTAATGATGTTAAACTCTGCAAACACCTACAAAAATCCCTCAAGAAAGAGGATTTCAAATTTTTACTTGAAATGAGTGAGATAAAATCATCATGCTCTACAATATGTTTTCCATCTTCAACAAACCAAAAAGCTCCGAGAAGAGAAATCCATAAACAAGACAAGTAGAAGTAAAGCTTACCTTTGACAAAAGAAAGATGATTTATCCAGTGGAACCCCTGCTACCTCTGCTTTAGCTGCCAAATGGTACCCAAAAAAAGCACCAAGAGGAGGAATTCCGCCTTCTCCACCAGCCCAAGCTGCCAATTTTTGCAGATGCTTTATCTTCAAAATGGAACTCACATCTACCTCCTTCTTCCCTAAGTTCTCCTCGCGCAAGGTAGCACCTTTACATATCCCCGCTTTCAAGTTTGATCCATCCTTCTTTCTTCTGCCCATCTTCACTGGATCAAAATGCGTATTAGTTTATGCAATTCCTCCAAAAACAATTCTGTTGGATTTACCTTAAATCCCAGCACAAATCCGATACCAAACAGCCCCGTAGTTCGTCGGATTTACTGGATTTAACCGGAGAAACGCGCGAAAGGTAGAAAGTTATTCACAGCGAGCGAGCTCCCGTCGTTGTTTCCCATCAAAATGTTGTAACTTCTGATCCGACGGGAAGGGAACGTCGTCGAAGGAGCGAACTCGAACAGAGACGCGACTCGTGCAGTCTCTACACCTGCGAAGGAACGAAGCCGAACAACGACGAAAACAGGAAGATGAAAACCAAACCCTAGACGCCTCTAAGTTGAACAATTATTACGTCCTCTTTTTTTTTGGGACATTTAGGCCAATTAAGGCAAATTCACACACACAACGCATACATATAAACTTGAACCTTGGACCTCTTAGTTGTAAGCCTAAGCTCTCACCCAATAGGCCAAGGAGAGTTGTGTTATTACGTCCTCTGACAGGACGTAGAGCAAAGTTCGTCCGTCATAACATATCGTGCTCTTATTTTTTACTGTGCAGCCCGACGATTTGACCCGAAGCGGAACCTGGGAATGCTATGTTCGTGATTTTCTCGGTATTGCTCGGTATTTGCTAGGTATTGCTTTGCAAAAATAAGAAATACCACTCTGTGAAGATCAATACCATGCAAATACCGAGTTGTACCGAGTTTTTTTACAACTTGGTACAACTCGGTACAACTCAGTATTTACTTAGGATTTGCTCGGTAT